TCGCAGAACGTTGGAAATAGGTTTAAAATTTAAGTCAAACCCACTTTCCCAGTAAAACCGAAGACATCGAATCGATCCGACAAGTAGTTTCTGAGATATGCTCAAATGGAAAAATAATAATAATAATAATAAGAATAATAATCCGAACAAAAACAATAGTGTTTCACACTGGCTACGCAGTGTGAAACCCTAATAATATAATATACCAGTCTAAGGGCAAGGGTTCATGAGCAGAGATAGACACAGTAATCACTATCCAAGAATCAGATTATCAGTAGACATGTGACTGCCCATAATACTTAATTATAATAAAACAAAGTGGGCACTGATTAAGCTGGAGACAATATATAATGGCTGGGAACTTATTTATTTATTATTTAATTCTAAATTATGATAGACTAATTTCTACCTGGTCATACAGTTGACCACTAAGGTCACTCGTTTTGATCCTCCCTCACCCTCAATGATATATAGGGAGATTGCAAATGATGACAGTCAACTTTCTACTAGTCAAGCAGAGTGTTCTTATTTTGAAGCTACACCTACAACTGACATCCCCATTGCAGTATAGGCTGTGTATGTATCCCTTATCCTCGGAATCTAAACCTCTTAAGGTCTCTCGTATAGCCCCCTGATGATATATCGTTCGAAAATGTAATGATTTCAGAAATTTACTATCAATAAACAATGTTTTATGATATTTCCAGCATATTTGTCCCCCGCCTTTCGAAGAAAGCAGGTCCGTCCGTCTGTCACACTTTTTGGGGCACAATAACTCTCCTTCTTATTGAGCTAGAATGTTCAAACTTGTGTAGGTGTTTATTAGGTCAATGCCATGATGGAGTTCGAAGAAGAGCATTTTCTGCTTAGGGTAAGCAGAGATAAGCAATTTGATTGTTTGATGCTTTGGGACACGATAACTTTAGTTCTGATTAAGTGAAAGTGATGAAACTTGGTGTATAGTTTTATCACATCAATACCTTGACTAAGTTTGATAATGAGCACTATCTGCTCAGGGTAAACAGAGCGATAAGCAATTTGATTGGTTGAGACTTTGGAAGACAATAACTCTCCTTCTAATTGAGGTAGAATGTTCACACTTGGTGTAGGCGTTCATTAGGTCAATGCCTTGATGGAATTTGATAATAAACAATGTCTGCTTACAGTAAGCAATCTGATTGGTTGATACTTTGGGGCACGATAACTTTGGTTATAATTAAGTGAGAGTGATAAGATTCATTATATCATTAACTTAGGCTAAAGAGCGATAAGCAATTTGATTGGTCAAGACTTTGCAACATAACAACCCTGCTTTTAATTGAGGTAGAATGTTTATACTTGATGTACGTGTTCATTATGTGAATGTCTTGACTGAGTTCAATGATTAACATTTTAAGCTAAAGCTAAGCAGAGCTAAGCAATTTCATTGATAGAGAGTGATGAAACTAGTGTATAGTTGATAATCAGTTTGATTGCTTGATAAATGTGCTATTAGTTAATGTGTCATCTATTTATTTTGGGATTTCGGCGGGGGACATCAGCCTCACTGTTGGCTTGTCTTAGTTAATTTTGAGAAAAATAAAAAGTGAAGAGAAAGGGTGAGGGCGATACATGGACTTACATAAATGTGATAGTATGGCCCATGTATGGTATATATAAAATACATGTATATCTATATATAAAATACATGTATGTTTATATATAGTATATAGAATGATAAAGGTCACATATGGTCAAGGACGATAGATTAGACTGGTGTTTTGATGAAAGGCTGTAAAGGCAGGTAGTTCAATGATATGGAAATGTCTGAATATAATGAAAAGTGTACATTTGTAACTGTTGAATTACAGTAAATAAGACACAATGCAAATACAAGACCTGACAACATTATTATTTGTAAATAATGAAAAACAATCAATAGCTTTTAAATGCCAGCAATTGATATCCCTGAAATTTTCCATAGAGAGGAAATTGTCATGCTCTGATAAACAACTAGATACATTGCACTAATGAATATGTCACAAGTTTTATCAAGCTGTTTATACAGTGTGTATGATGCTCTTATAGTAAAAATTTTAAAAAGCCTAATAATGAAAGAAAATCCTCTTGTTCAGAAGTTTATGATCTAATATTAAGAATTTTCTTTTTTTTTTTAAAATGATTTTGTTTTCAATGTCATTCAAAATCTGAATCTTGCTGAATCTTAGGAGTTTGTGAAACTTGTAAAATCTTATAGTAATTACTCTTCCTTTGAATGTAGGTTTATTTGATAAATATTCTTTATTACACATACTTCATGTTTTTATCCCCCATTTTTCGAAGAAAGCAGTGTTTGACACTCTAGAGTCTAAAGTTAATAATCCGATTGACTTTAAATCTATACGCAGTGTTTGAGGTCATGAGACGAAGAATCCTATTGATTTTCAATGATTTCGGATGATTACTGCCAAAGTTATGGCCCTTGATCACTTCAAAAAATCTTGTTGACACTCTTAGAGTCTAAAGTTAATAATCCGATTGACTTTAAATCTATACGCAGTGTTTGAGGTCATGAGACGAAGAATCCTATGGATTTTCAATGATTTCTGATAATTACTGCCAAAGTTATGGCTCTTGATCACTTTGAAAAATCTTGTGACGCTCTAGAGGCTAAAGTTATCATCCGATTGACTTCAGATTGATACAAACAAATTCTATAATTTTCTGATAATTACTTAATGAGTTGTTACTCGTAATCAGATGTTAGTGTATTATATATGTTTCATTACCAACAAAAGTTAAAGTATGCGACAACTCTTGTTGACTGCCCGGACGATTTAGCTGCTGTGGGCATATGTTTCGTTGCCTGGAGAATCCTATTGATTTTCAATGATTTCTGATAATTACTGCCAAAGTTATGGCCCTTGATCACTTTGAAAAATCTTGTGACGCTCTAGAGGCTAAAGTTATCATCCGATTGACTTCAGATTGATACAAACAAATTCTATAATTTTCTGATAATTACTTAATGAGTTGTTACTCTTAATCAAATGTTAGTGTATTATATATGTTTCATTACCAACAAAAGTTAAAGTATGCGACAACTCTTGTTGACTGCCCGGACGATTTAGCTGCTGTGGGCATATGTTTTGTTGCCTGGCAACCTATCTTTATCATCTATTTCTGAATATACCCAAGTCATGTGTTGTCATAGTATAGTGTTGGGTTAATAAAAGTTAAGCTTACTCTTTTTGAATCACCTAATACTACTTTGTCACAATAGTGCCTGTTATTTTGATATGTTCACCATGTAATATCCATCTTATCTTACACTAATTTGTCACTTTGTATTTTTTGGCTTTAAGTTTGAATACCTTTCGAAGCAATGATACTCTGTTTTTTTCTTCTTTTTATAATATGGTTGATGATTCATAAAAATGCCATATTCAATGACTCCCACATCACTACACAAATTGATAATTAGTAGACATCCCTCAGGCAAGCAATTTGTTCAGCTTAAATGGAGCTTCTAATCTTGTTTTATTTTGTTTACTTTCGGACTGTTATAAAATTTTTATCTGTCTGTCTGTCCAACACTCTCTTTGTGACACAATAACTCTGCTTCTAATTGGGCTAGAATGCCCAAACTTGGTGTAAATGTTTGTTAGGTGAATGCCTTGACCGAGTGTGATGATGGGCATTATCTGCATAGAAAAAACAGAGATATGCAATTTCATTGTTTGAGACTTTGGGACACAATAACTATTCTTCTAATTGAGGTAAAATGTTCAATCTTGATGTGGGTGTTTATTAGGTAAAAGTGTTTGATGAGCATTTCTGCTTAGACTAAACAGAGATAAGTAATTTGATTGGCTGACACATGGAACATGCAAGATTTCTGCTTCAAAAAATATCCACCCAGTCTAACTGTTCAATCCAGTTGAGTATTTGTTTCATATTGGTTTAAATTATACAAGAATATATATGTCTATTCATTCTGTTTTTAATATGTCTATCAACATCAAGGACTTTCTAATTTGTAATTATTGTAAAAAAAACGACAACAACCTTGAATCTTGCATTTTCGTGGTCCTAGGTTGTTGTGACCCCTGTCAGTCCGTCTAACACAAACAATCTAGGGGCTGAAGTTATCATATGATTGACTTGATATTATACTATATGTTCATGAGTTGAAGTTGCCTATCTATTTTCAACAATTTCTAATAATTACTGTCAGAGTTATGACTCTTTATTAATTTGAAAAACCTGGTTGAGGCTGAAGATATTATTAAATTGAACTGCAGGTGAAAAGGCCGCTGTCCAAGCCAAATTTCTCATGGCATAGCATATGCCCGTCTTCATTAGTATGGTATGTAAAGATCTTTGAATACAGAACTTGATTTTATGCATAGATATTTTGATTCTTTGAGCTACATCTTGTCACATAATGTCATTTCACCATATTAATTCATTTTAACATTGTAAACACAATTTAGGCAGTAGAGCTTTACTGATTTATTTTTTTTAATATAACTGTTCTATTTACCAGGAATATTTTATAAGATAATACAGTAGTGAATAAAAGGAGAAACCTATTTGGATTATTTCAACTGAAATGTTGCAGGCCTCTCTCCATTTATAAGCCCGAATTTAATTCCCATAATAAACATCAAGAAATGGACCTCACTACAAGTCTTTTTGCGTTTTTATTTCACATTAATTTCATCATGTCTGCAATGATGAAGCTTTTTACTGTATTGATAATGTAGAGCTGTGAAGCAGACGCTATGTAAATGTGTGTGTATGTACATGTATATACATACTCCCACACAGTTGTACCATTACTACTACCTGTTCTGGCTTGTATATATGATGCTCTATTATCAAATGTCAGTAAAGATGGCAGTTAGTTGTTAGCATATAAACTGACATGTAAATAAACACATGTTAAACTAGCTCATCATCCTATACCCTCTCTGTATATATATATATATATATACACTATTTGCTTTATTTTACAGGTTTCCTCACCAGCTATGTGCAGTAGATATACATGTACCCTATACAAAATATAGTTCCTTCATCGGAGAAGTTTGTAATTTTGTTTACAAGATTTGCCAAATCTGGAGACTTGCCAGGTCAGTGGTGTATGTTATTTTGCCATTGGGGAAATTGCCAAATGATGTGCACAGTGAAGTGGCTTCCCAGTAAAAAAAAAATGTAGTTTTGATTGAAATTTTTTGAGCCATTTGATATAGACTTGCTTGTTGTTTTGACGCACATGGTCCCTAATTTAAAACAAATCTATGCAAAATGTTTTAGGCATGACCAAGTGTGATGGTAGTGGAAAAATACATTCATGACCAAGTTTGCACACATGGTTTCAATTTCTGAAAAACATTGTTTAATAACAGGCAGAGGACTTCTAATAGCTGTGAATAAATTTGATAAATATAGAGATTACTCATTTATGGGAGAAGAATAATTTGAATACAAGTTATTTATGTCTGAACTACATACCAGGATCAGATATGTTTTCTTTGCCATCTAAGCTGTTTATTTTCTTTATGTCAAGAATTAATACTGAGACATCTCTCTCATCTTATCAATGGAGCATTATTAAGCATATTATTATAATAATTATCACCATTGAAAGTCGCTTTCTCTTATGATAATCAGTGTTGTTTTAAGTAGATTTATTTTGTTAATTCTTTGTAGGAATCTTGAAATCATGTTTAAGTCAATGATTAATTAATTCATCAATACTTTTTATAAGTATAATTACGCATTTATTACTTCAAAGATTGCATGGAATTTTTAAGGGAAAGTTTTTTTGTCAGAAGAATAATATCTACTTAAAATTCATATCATACTTTAGATTACATTTCAAAACCCCTTCATTGATGAGGATCCCGTTTTGTTGTTCGTGTTGGTTTACTAAGTTATTAATTTTTGAATTTTCTCACATATTTATTAATTTGAAAAACAGACCCTTGTGGTTTATCTTCAATTAACAATTTATACATTTTTTCAAATATTTATTAATGTCAAAAAGAGATAGTATTTATTAATTTATTTAAAGGAACAGGAAGCCATGGTTTGTGTACATAATAAAAGCATTTGTTTGTTTATGTCTGGTTATAAAAAAGGAAAACTTCCCTGGCAGTCTCTAATATAGATTTAGTTATATTTTTATGCTTGAAATGTTAACTATTCAAACATTAATTGACTGATATTTCAACATCGGCCAATTCTTTTAAGATAATATTTTGATGTGCTTACATTGAAATATGGTTGTATATTGCCATATACATTGCATTCTGTATGTCTGTCCATCTGTCACCAATTTCTATAGAACGCTCTGACAATTGTATTTACCACTTAATTTTAAGAAAAAATTATACATGTAACAAAACTAACATGTTGTTTATATTAGTTAGATAAAGAAGCCTTTGCATTTCAATGATTTCTCTTCATAACTTAAAGAGTTACTACCCTTTTTTTACTTTGTAGAAGTTTGTGAACGCACTAATGTCGAAATTTACCATCCGGTCTGTTTGAAACTTGTATGCATTATTTAAATTTTCAGTTGATTGCATTAAGAGTTATTGTCTGTGCTTGATTTGTACGATCTTATGGATGCATTATTTATTTTTCAAAATTTTTTAATAATTACTTCTAGTGTTAATGCTCTTGGTCATTTTGTAGAATCTTGTTAATAATTTGTTGGCAAAAGTTATCACCCAATATGAAAAGATCAAAACCATGAAAGAAAGAAGCATATTTAATTAGTCCTAGAGTTATTGCTTTGCTCACTTTGTAAATACTCTAGCGAAGAAAGATACCATCAAGTTAACTGTTAGAATTTGAAAAATTCTAGATAATATTTATGGTTTGTGAAGACCCCATTATTCCCATCTATAGCAATGAATGTCCAGACAAATTGTGTCATGGTCCATATAAAAGAAGTAATAATTCACCATAATAGTAAGAGCACGTTTCACAACATCTAAAAACTGGTGAAAATAACCTCTTTATTTTGCTTAGCATAAATAGACTAATCCTCAGGTAAACAAGCTTAATATGTTTACTTCCGTAAATACAAAACTACTATGAGTCATATAAACAGAAAACAATATACCAGTAATATGAAAAAAGTATATTATTTAATAGATGTGAGCTAAACAAATGAAATTTTTTTTCTTGTTCAATATAATTAAATAAAAATATGCTCTGGATTAGTCTGAATTATTTTTTCACCATCAGATGATAAATATATTTGAACGATGTTGGCCTGGGCTAGAGTAAGAATGGTACATGTATGATTGCATATCCAAGTATGTGCTGTGATTATTGTTTTGGAGGTCAATAAGAAACTCAAATCCCTTCAATGGTTTTCCCAAAACTATGACCGTGGCTCCTTGGTAGAAAGGGACAAAATTAATCATGTATTTTGTTCTAAATTGATGTCTATTTGAAATCGTCTCATCAAAGCAATTTTGTTTGTGCACTGTAGGGAACAAATAAACTGTTGAACTTATAATATATTAAAATATTTTCATAATAACTATTATTTTTTTTACACAGAAATTTAATGGTGCTATTTATTTTGTATTTTGCACAGCATTTAATGATGAAATAGACAATTGATCATTATTGTGTTATGGAGATAAACTACTGGACATATTATTCACCTGTAACACAGCTAGTTATAGTTATTAATAATTCTGAAAGTAAACAAAAAATATATTTGTCTGCATTCTTGTTAATACATGATAATATTTCTCTGGATATATTTGAAAGTTGGTACTAGTGAAGCCCAAATCCCATCACATTTGAATAAAATATGATTTATTCTACTAATCGTACATGACTGATCCTCAACCATTACCTGTAATCACCTTCAGCAGACGTACCCAATCCTCAAACTCAAAAAATAATTTATAGTTGTCATGAAATGATTTAGGTGATTGTATGTGTTATTAGTGCTATGGCAGTGATAATTAGAAAAGATAATGGATAATAGCCTCGTGTTTACACAGCTAATATAAATGGTAAATTACATTATTAACAAGGAAAGTTATGATGGCTTGTTCGTTTATCTTGATCATTGTTTGTTATATTGGTACTCAAGTGAATAATACATACGTAACTATGTCATGACAAATAGCTTACTACTTTCAACCATTAATCCCATAGTTTTCTGTACGGGAGGTGGGTGTAACACTGTCTGTACATAGAACATCTTTTGGACTGTGCACTCAGACTCAACATAATACATCAATAGCAATTTCGTGAAAAATGGCTTACTAATTGGAACGATTGATTCCAGGGTTTTGGTACAGGGTCAGGGTAACATTGTCTGCATAGAAATGAGCGAGTTGAAAGTTGTTTTTGGACAGTGCCCTTCTAGACTTTAAAAGACTAGACAGTAAAAGGGCATATATTCTTCTAAATGACTGATTTATGTAATACATTATACTGAGTGAAATAAAATGCCAGTCAAACACATGCAGATACTAACATGGGACTAAGATGGTTCAATTTTATTTCAATAATTCGCTTGTACGTAGGGCGCTTTAGTAGTGGGAGGAAATCAGAGGACCCAGAGAAAACTCATGAGGTTGGACTGACGACCCTACCCCTTGACATGTACAAGCTCGGAATCATGCCACTCAATGACGGACCTTATGATGCAATGCGCACACGTTAACCATTCGGCCACCCAACCCCTGTCTACAAAACTATCCGTATACTTAAAGCTTCACTATAATGTTGATGTTATCGTCCACTTTTTAAAAAAAAAAATAAAACAAAAAAAACCTACAGCTGTTACTCCAATCTTTGATGCAGCAGGATGGAGGGTCTGGCAAGGAACAGCATGCAGTCATTCAGATGGGACAGAAAAGAACGAGGTCATGTGTAGACATTAACATGCATATAAGAACACTGACAGTTGGAATTCGAAATAAATACTAGGTCTTAGTGCCACTGTCTAGGCAAAATTTCCCCCATAGAACACTACATGACGCATGCACGTCTTTGTTAGCATGGCTAGAGTAGAAAAGTAGGACATAAAACCCAATTTCGTTTCATTACACCCATCTTCTATTGAAACCTGGCCTATTAGCAAACCACACCAATTTTCTGTTCCAGTGTATTTGTTTTGTGATGGTAATAAACAGCGGTGTTAGCCCACAACAATGTTTGATTTTATAGTTTAGTCACTGGTCACAGCACTGTGTAGCTGATCAAACTTTATGTTTTATGATCAATTGCAATATTTCTAGCTGGTAATATTGATTAGGTTTCACAGAAATTGTGACATTTCTTTATGAATGAAAGAAAGAGATCAAAACTACTAGTTCACCTATTTTGTTTTGAACAGTGAATTAATGGCTATTAACAGGACATAATTTTAATAGTGTTTATAGGTGTATTTTAATTACCATATGCCAGGTTTATGACCATTTTAAATCATATCAAGACCGCCTGCATATCACCTTTATTATCTACAGCTATATAAATATATTACCTTAGAAAATGTTTTATTTATATAACATATAAGCTTAACCTTAAAAAAATTTGTTGTTCATGGCTTGCTTTAAAAATAAAAATTAATATGACTTTCTCTGCATATAAAGACTGGTTGCCTTTGTCACAAACCTTCTTCTTCTGCTTATCATTATTGAGTACATACACTAAAAACTCTTTCAAATCTTTCACCAGAATTATGATTTCTTCTTTTAATTCCGATATAATTAGAATACTAACTTGTGTGTAACTTTTTAAAAGTTGGATCTTCTTTGACTAGGTTTTGTAATCTATACACCAGTGAGATTACAGTACCTATAATGAACATCCACATTACCAAGGATCACACTGGCTTTCAATATTTTTTTTGGCAAAAATGGATCATAATTTTTATATAAAAGGATTGTTTACATTCTTTATGGTATTCTGCCACATGATTGTGATTGGCATTCAACATATTAGTCAATCATAGATAAATATGCTTAGAATTTTAAGATTATTTTCCTGTCATTCCTCAAAAAGAATTTCCAATACTCCCAGTAGTTATAGTAGGGTGACCCACCATAAATAAATATCTCCATATATCTCGACAATTACGCCACAA